TAATTATTTTAAAATAAATCTAAAATATAAAAAATAATGATTATTTTAAAATAAAAAAGATACTCCTTACAAAAATATTTGTGATCACAATCGCAACAGAGAGGATGAAGCGGGATCATTATGTTCGGTGGTCCACTTTTACCAAGAATCTTCCCTTCCTCTTATAATAATTCCAATAACCCACGTGACAAATTAATTCCCGAAGTCTCGCTGTTCACTTTGCAAGATACCATTAAATTCTAGAAGCCATTCATTTTGTTTTTGATTTTTTTTTTTTTATGGACGGTTAGGTGATTTTATGTCACTGTTTTTTATATTTTAAAATTAATTTTTTTCAATAATCTTAAAGACTCACATATTGGTTTGCTAAATTTAAAAAGGTTAGTTTCTATAAATCACAGCCTCAAAACTTGACTCTTAAAATTAACTTGGAATTCGCATTTATTTACCCGTAAATTTCATCATTAGGATTGCATTGTCTCTGTACTATCAAGTAGGACCCACTTTCTTAAATAGGCTGTCCCTTCGCGAGTAGTTATATATCTAAACACCCTGCAATTTCTAACTAGACAAGAACAAATTGAAGTACGTGGGAGCTTGACTTCATCGAGAGAGCACAGAGAGGCCTTGTTGGAAGATGGTTAGAGCTGCTTTCTATGACCAAAATGGAGTGAAGAAAGGTGCCTGGAGTGCGGACGAAGATGAAAAACTAAGATCTTATATTGAGAAATATGGTCATTCCAATTGGCGTGAACTTCCCAGGTTCGCCGGTATGACGACTCTCTGCCTGTACTTCGAATCTCCGCTTGTACCTTTTTACAGAAAATCGTGACTCGGCTGATTAACTTAGTGGAAGTCTTACAAAGACCTCTTCGGTTTCAATTTCATTTTTAGAATTTTCCTTGGTTTTATTTTTTGTTTTTTATTTTTTTGGGTATTTCTTTTCCTTTTAGACACACCAAACTGCATATGTATATATATAGATCCTTAATTTTTCACCTATATTTTATTTTTTTATTTTTTATTTTTTTAATTACTTTTGATTTTAATATAATTTTTTTTCAATACATTTAACTTAAAGATAGATTGATGTTGCATAGTAATTTCTTTCATGATTATGAATTCTAATTGGGCAAAGTTTAATCAATTTACAGGTCTATCAAGGTGTGGGAAGAGTTGCAGGTTACGATGGATGAACTATCTCAAACCAGAACTAAAACATGGGAATTACACTCAAGAAGAAGATGCCTTGATCTTGAAATTGCATGAACAGTTTGGAAACAGGTACCACCAACAATTTGGTTAAAGTATCTTTTTGGTCCATCAATTTTTTTATACTTTTTTTCATCCTCACGGAAGAAATTACTATGCGATATAAACTTGTCCCTCAATATTCGAATTTGGTATCAAAATGGTTCTTCCATTAACCATTTTTAATGGAAATTTGGTATCAAATTAGTAGTAAATTAGAGAGTTGAGGGACAAAATGTTACTTTAAGCCAATAGTTCAACATTAATTTTCACAAAAAACAAATTAAGTACTTGAACGAAGTACTAAATTATTTCCTTTCGTAGATGGTCGTTGATTGCATCAAGATTAGCGGGTAGAACGGACAATGAAATTAAAAACCATTGGAATACCAACTTAAAGAATAGAGCAGCAGAGGCAAAGATAAAGAATGTGCATTCCGGAGAAAGTTCGCACGCCAACACCACTGGAATGTCTGAATGTGAAGCTGAAGGCACTGTCCTTGCTGAATTCATTCCTCCTCACCTCATATTAGAGAGTTCACCACTGTCCCCAGCAACATCTTCCAATGCTGAGTTCTCTGGATCTTTGAACTCGGATCGTGGATCAATAATGGTGATGTCCAATTCGTCAGAAATCTATGAAGCAAGCAGTGGAGATTTCTGGACTGAACCATTTGTATCGGAAAATATGTTACACCATATTGGTTATCCGTCACCGTCGTCGTCCATGGCAAGGAGCGGATTTGAGGTGCCTTATGCTGACTTACTTTATGGTGACACTGCTGATTTGTTCTACCAAGTGATGCAAGAGCTGCCTTGAGATGTGTTGTGTGTATAAAATCAATTGTTCTTTCATGTATGAACATCTGAAAAAAACATGATCTTAGCAATAATGAAAAAAATATCCAAAAAATGTGTTGATCGTGGTTCTGCTTGGGAGTATGGGCTAAAAGCGAATAGACGTCCCTCAACTTTGATAATTTTACTCGGTTCTGTCGACCTCGATCCAAGGAAACGACTAAGATTGACCCTACTTCAAAATTATTGCCGCACAAAGTCGTTCATCTACTTTGAAAATAATGTTCAAATTGTCCTTAAGCTGATGGCTTCTCAAACAAACACCATACATCCATTTTAAGCCTTTTCTTTTTGGGTTTCTCTGATATGCGGAACCCACACATCCCCACGCTTTAGAATTTGTTTCATTTTTCATTCCCCCCTTTTTTTTTCTCCCCTCCACTCCCTTTCCTAAATTCCCCCCCAAAACATACCTTCCTCCTTCATTTGCAATACCCTAGTCTCTAACTCCCAAAGGATGGAGCCAGGAAGTTCGATTAGAGGGGGCAAGAATTATTATTGAAATTTTGAATCTTTAAAAATCTTTTAAAACACTAATTTTTTTTTAATCTTCTTTTTCTTATAAAAATATTCATTTGTAGTTTTTTTTTATTGATATATTTTTTTAAAAAAATCGATATAAATGTATTTATTAAAAAAAACAAAATATCACAATAATAAATCATGTAATGATCAATTGAAGAATAAATAAATAAATAAATGTGTTTGTAACCAAATCTCTGGAAAAAAAAAAAGGTGTAAAAACACTTAAAATTCATATTGTCTTAATAAACTCATGTTAAAAAAGATAAGAACAACACATTTTTAAAGTTAAAATGAAAGTATTTTGGTTTTGTTGAAATAATATAGTTTTAAAATGTTTCTCCTT